GGTAGCAGAGTGTGGTGACTACATGTTTGGAGAAGTGACATGTCCAAAGAAGTCTGAAGTGTTGGAACAGTGTAACTACTGTGGGAGAAGGGAGGTGGGCAGGAAGAGTGGGGTGCACAAGTTCAAGGTTAGAGTGGTGTATATACTAAGTTTTTTGGCGGGAAAAGTTAATCCAATTAATTAGCCAGGTGAGGGTCCCACTTATCTAATGTTTTTTGGCGGGAAAATGAACTTAACAAGTAATCAGTGAAACAGAACTACATGTTTGGACAATTTAAGTGTAAAGAGAGGTTCCAAAGTGACAATTTTTGGGCAATTTTGGTGTTCACGACACGAAGCGATAAATTTTTCATTGACTAATTTAGCATAGCAACGTTAAATTAAAGCGGCCAGCTACAATTTATGGCAAATGGCTCCTCACGGAAAAAATGGCATGTTGACCCTCAGACTCAGAGTAGAGAGAAGTGGGCATTAAAAAAAGAGAAATGCGTGCATGCATGTGGAGTGTTGTCTTGTGTTAACAAAAAAAACATACTCACACCTCTCCATCTTCTTTCACATCACAGCTCTGGTGATAAAAGTCTGGTTCTTCCTCCTGCTACAGTCCAGTCTCCGGGTCCACATCTTGAAGACAAAGAAACAAAACTCAGTGTATTGAAAGCAGCAATTGGCCTGGCTAAGAACTAATGTCTACAATCTCCTACTATGGCCACATAAATCAGATATAGTGGTTCTCAGAATTTTGCAGGAAATTAGGTAGGCGGTTGACTGGTACATTTACTTTTTCTTGTTTGCAAATCAGAAAACCTTGTTGCTGACATGCATGTGTTACACCAAGTACGTTTATCTGTGACAGGTTTTCCACGGCATTTGCTGCATGCATCGCAGCTACATACAAGCCAGGAAAAAAACGAAATGAGAAAAAAAAACAGCTCGGGTGGTCACGAGAAAGGGCACAACTTATAAAGGGCTTTGTGATAGAAACATAAGCACGCAAACATGGACATAAAACAATGAGGGCTTCATAATCAAATACAAAAATGACAAAACGTCTTTGGTTAACTTGAAATTGCCTCAGATGTCACAAATTCAACTTCACCGGTACAACAAGGAGTATTTATCAAGTAGACATCAACTCATTTTGCTGCTCTTAGCTTTCCCGCGCTGATTTTGACCGAGGAGTTCGAAATAGAACAGGGGGTTCAACGTGTTTGATCAGGAAAGGTCCATTTAAACTGAAGTTTACCAAAAAAAAACATTCTTACCTGTCAGAACTCTTGAGCTTCTTCAGGGTTCTTGAGTCCTCATCGGGTCTGGTACAAACAGGAACAACAGCTTACTTTGGCTCTTCAGACACGCGTCTACCTGTAAATAAAAACAACAAACAGTTTAGGGCATTGGCGGAAGAAACATCTGATTAAAGAAGTGCATTCCATCAACAGCAACGTGATACAAGTTCGGCTGAAAACACAGAAGGAATTGACCATACAAAATAGAAGTAACTGTAAACACAGAAACAACAGTTTCTGTATTTACATTTACTTCTCAAGGAAGTGACAATAAGAAAAAGTCAAGCTTACTTGGGAAAAACTGCATTCTGAGTCTTCATTTCTCTTCTGGTCTACATTGGATTCAAGTCTCCTGTCATCACAGCTGCAGGTTTCTCCCAGTCAGGACAGGAACATCAGGATGCACCTAACTATATGAAAGGATCATTAGTACAGTGTACATGGTACGAGAGACATCTCCAGGCAACACTGAATGGCCGTACAATAAAACAGTATAAAACTGGTTGCGAACTTGAAAGCATCGTCTCACCTGTACAAACTCTTTACTTTACTGTCTGTATAATAAAACAGTATAAAACTGGTTACGAAATTAAAAGCATTGTCTCACCTGTACAAACTCTTCACTTTACTGTCTTCAAGTCAACTGTTTTTCTGAGCCCTGCATTGGACAGAAGTCGCCCGTCATCACAGGTTTCTCCCAGTCAGGACAGGAACATCAGGATGCACCTAACTATATAGTATATGAAAGGATCATTAGAGCATGTACATGGTACGAGGGACATCTCCAGGCAAGATTGAATGATTATAACGATATAATCAATGGAACTTCTATTTGCTAGTTTTAACATAGCTGAGAAAAAAAGGAACTCGCAAGCTTAAAAGCATTAATTTGTCTCACCTGTACAAACTCTTCACAGTCTTTAGGTCAACCCATGTTTTGAGTCCTCATCGCGTCAGGTTCGGACAGAAGTCGCCCGTCATCACAGGTTTCTCCCAGGCAGGACAGGAACATCAGGATGCACCATTCTATGCATGCATGATACAGGATAATCAGTACAACACATTAAAATTGTAATACATTTAGAACTTTTAATGAAAACGAAGTTGCGTTGTTACATTAAAAAAACTTGAACAACTAGGAAGAAAAGGACTTTCTTCAATCGTTGGGGTCAAAATATGTCTTTCATTGAGCATTTTGCTGTTGATTTAGAACCTAAAAAATTTTTTTTTTTTTTGCAAATCAGATAAAAATAGAAAGGGCGAATCCGAGAAACAGCAAATTAAATTGGTGTGACCTAAACCAAAAAATGATACCTAACTTATGTTGTGCTAAGTTTACTGCCAACTATTATTACAACATTCATTTAAGTAAGTAAGGTCAATCATTGTACAAATCGTTTTGATTCAGTGGGAACATCACATATAAAAAGGAATGAAAGACATCACTGCACCAAATTAAAAGACAAAACAATAAATCAGAGCCTTGTCTCCTTCATATTTATCTGCCATCCACATGGCATCTTTGCCTATTTTCGGCATGTTTTTTTTTCTGAATCAGGCGAAAATTAATGCGTGCGCATGTCATCCATAAACATTACTTGCTGTGGTCGAATTACTTTTTTTCAGTGCTCTGCAATATTGCAGAAGAGTCAAAATTTTGTTCTGCAATTTGAAAATACTTCCTGCAAATACACAAGGCTAATTCGAAATAACAAAATGCTAAACTATGCTACCAGGAGCTGTAATTTCGCCGCCTTGTTTGAGCGCCAATTTTTGGCGGGAACATCAAAAAGCCCACGTGCGGCACATTCCAACAGGTAGTCGCTGAGCCGCGCTTACCACGTGGCGTTAGAACAAAACTTTTCTATTTTTCAGAACAGTTTTCCCTCCAACATGAACTCATGGCTTTTCGTAGACCCACTAGACACACGAAAAATAAGATATAGTGTTCTCCGAAGACGCCACCAAGAAGTTCAAAACGGCACGAAGCGGCTATGTATAACTTTCAACACAGCGTAGAATGGCCAAACCAGCTAAATTGTAGCATTCTAAGAGCCACACCAAATGATACGGAATATAACTAACATACAACATAAGGTTATCAGTTTATTGTAAGTAAATTTGACGAAAACCGTCAATATCTTACCTTGAAAAGACTTCCCCACACCACGCCGTCTGTCCAACTCTCTGAGACGCCATTTTATTGTCTCCAACTCCAAGTAGTTCACCCGGTCAGGAAATGAGCATTTTCTCCCCCAAACATCAAAAGAACTGCATAAATCCACAATTATAACATCCCGACGAGTCATGGCATATGTTGGAACAATAGTTTCGAGACAAAAGTTGGAAAATCGACCAAAAAATTCGCCCAAACAACCAGAAGAACGACACTGTGTCACTACAAGGCTCCGCGCACATGGACGGACTGTACCAAATGTGATTTTTACACAGGGGTGCAAAATTCCTGTCTATAGCGACCACCTGCCCATGTCAGTCATACAAATTAGGTCTTCATTCATTTTACCACTTAATTTAACATGTCAAAAGTTGGAATAATCCTATCACTGTTTTTAATGCGTAAATATGACTCGTGTTTGTATTCTTTGTGTCGTTATTTGTGTTCGATACCCTGTACACCCCCACCGGCCCCTATAGTTTCACCGGTATAGTTTCAAGCCCAGAGTTTGAGCCTCAGTCTCTATAAGTTAATCGGAAAGGCAGGGTAATTGAAAAAAATTCACTGGCAAATTGGCTTTGCAAAAAAGCGGCATCCACTGTAACTGTGCCCTTCCTATGATAACAGTAGCGTTAACCCGGGGACGGTCGGCGCGGCACACACCGCGCGTCTCCAGTCACTGCCGGCGGGGAGAAACTCCATGTCCGCCCGCAGAAAACTCCGCCAAGTCACGGTCATCCTTCAACCTCAGTTACTGGAGTTTTACAGCAAACTGTCACCTTACTGTAGAGCCTAATAGACGTCCCAGCAACTGCTAGATGCTAAATAAATAACGCACAATAATTATACGCAATCGAATGCGTAAAAATGCGGTCACGTATAAACGGGAATTCTTACGGGAGGCCCCGCCACTAGCCCCCGAGGAAATACCGCTCCCGACTCCACACCGTACGGCCAGTTTTTACTGAAAAGCAGCAGCGGTTCGTTCACTACCTTTGTCTTAATCATAATCAACACCTTTTCATCATCAATTCGTAACACTCTCTGTTGAGAGGAAACTGATCTTAGAGTTTACTTTCACGTATGTTTCATTCATTTACTCGGAACCCTTGTATCACTTGTTTACTTTATTACAAACATGACAATGTTGACATGTGATAATCACTGCATTGTAAATATAGGACTATAAATGTTAAGAAACTGCCTAACTGTTTGAAATATCACCACGTCTGAAAAAAACATATAGCCTTCACGCTCCACCCATGCTTTATAAAGTACATTAGTTTCCAAGATTTGGTATCAGGTAAAAGAATTGCCCACCTATACTTTAACTTTTTATGACAAGACGGGTTGGGGACCTTCCATAGTTTCTCCATAGTTAACTTATCTCGAGTGTCGATTTGCGATGATCTAATCACAGATGGCCTTCTTACACAAGCTCATATTGTTCAGTACTATTGTTATGTTGGGATGTGACGTGTTGTCCCCATAAATAACTTTCATCATGGTCAATGACTCTTCATAATACATCATGGCTTTACTGTGATCACCGAGTACTTCCCAACATTTACCAATGTTATTAAGTGATTCAGCAATGTCTGGATGTACTCTGCCTTCACCATAGATAGCTTTCCTCATATGCAATGACTGTTCGTAATAACCAATAGCTTTCTTCTGATCGCCAAGCTCACTCCAACATACCCCAATGTTGTTTAGTGATGAAGCAATGCTGGGATGTGGCGTTGTTTCGCCATAGATAGCTTTCCTCATCTTCAGTGACTGTTCGTGATAATTGATAGCTTTCCTCTGATCACCAAGTTTCATCCAACAGTTCCCAATATTGTTTAGTGATCCAGCAATGCCGGGATGTGCTGTTGTTTCGCCATGGATAGCTTGTTTGATCTTCAGTGACTGTTCGTGATACCTGATAGCTTTTCTCTGATCGCCAAGGTCACTCCAACATACCCCAGTGTTGTTTAGTGATGAGGCAATGTCGGGATGTGGCGTTGTTTCGCCATAAATAGCTTTCATTATCTTCAGTGACTGTTTGTAATAACTGATAGCTTTCCTCTGATCGCCGAGGTCCCTCCAACATGTACCAATGTTGTTTAATGATGAAGCAATGTCGCGATGTGGCGTCGTTTCACCATAGATAACTTTTTTCATCTTCAGTGACTGTTCGTGATAACTAATAGCTTTTCTCTGATCGCCACACTTTCCCCAACAGTTCCCAATGTTGTTTAGTGATGTGGCAATGTCGGGATGTGGCGTTGTTTCGCCATAGATAGCTTTTCTCATCTTCAGTGACTGTTCGTGATGAGTGATAGCTTTCCTCTGATCACCAAGGTCACTCCAACAGGTCCCAATGTTGTTTAGTGATCCAGCAATGTCGGGATGTGGCGTTGTTTCGCCATAGATAGCTTTGTTCATCATAAGTGACTGCTCGTGATAACTGATAGCTTTTTTCTGATCGCCAAGGTCAATCCAACATGTACCAATGTTGTTTAGTGATGAAGCAATGTCGGGATGTGGCGTTGTTTCGCCATAGATAGCTTTCTCATCTTCAGTGACTGTTCGTGATAACTGATAGCTTTCCATTTATCATCGAGTTTACTCCAACAGTTCCCAATGTTGTTTAATGATGTAGCAATGTCGGGATGTGGCGTTGTTTCGCCATAGATAGCTTTCGTCATCTTTAGGTCCTGTTCATGATAACTGATAGCTTTCCTCTGATCACCAAGCTCACCCCAACACACCGCAATGTTTCCAAATAACGAGGCAAGGTTTATAGGTTTTTCTATACCTCCATAGATAGCATTCCCAATGCTAAGTGCCCGTTTGTAGTAGCTCATGGCTTTCTCATAATCACCACGCATGTGCAAGACATTGCCTATTTCATAAAGTATTTCGAACTGTTTTTCCTCGTCACCATCCGAATCTTTCAGAGCTTCCTCCAGGTGACGTCTGGATGCGTCTAACTGCCACAGCTGTCGTGATATTCGACCCTTTGTTAGAGATGTGGTGTCAAAGATGGCTGTTGGGAACATTTTTGTCGTCGGATTTTTCTTTGCAACTGTATACGTAATGCATCGTTTAAATGGAATGGCAGTATAGTAGTATCTGAACAACATTTTAGTGTCCGGTATGTAGAAAACTGACTGAACAAAAGTGTCATCTATGTCATGTTTGTCCAGTTGGACTTTCATCTCCGTGAGAGGAGACAGTCTGTCCTTCTGTCCCCCGTTGGCAATGTACGTTCTTAACCGTAGCTCCGCTGAGATGCTGATCAGTACAGTCAAGTGGTGGGCATCTTCGTCACTGATCCGCTGTGTCTTGTGTAACTCTTCTATCATTCCCCACACACTGGGGATCGTTATACCACAACAAATACTCAACACATCAACGGCCACGCTGGGAAAACGGTAGATTTCCTTCTTTACATCCAGAAGCTGCCCAGTTGGCTCAACGTTTTCTATTTGCCCAATATTATCCTTCAGTGTCAGCATTGCTGAAAAACGTGACAATACAGGAGACCGGTCGACGCTTCTTTTGACAATGCCTGCATACTCATCTACCAAAGACTCGTCTCCTGTCAAGTAGGTCACCCGTCTGAGGATGTCTGACAGGTGATAGCCTTCCGCCAGGGCGATGTGCAGATGCTGATATTCGGCCAACTTGGAGGGAGTCTGGATGAGACTAACGGGAGATTTGCTTTTGGTCTCGTCTCTTCCAAACGGAGTCTTAGAAGCCCATGGCATGAAGCCGTCGAAGGCGAAGCCGCGAGGTGTGACGGAGTCGTAGAACCAGTCTTTCTCTGGGTCTTCTGAGAGAAAGTCGTTGAGTGACGGGATTGCCATGGCTGGGAGGATGGTTTCCCCAAGGTTGATGACTTTTAGATGTAAGTAGTGTGTGAGATTTAGGAAGTACCTCCGTGTATCATCATCATCCTTCCCCTCCTCAATCAGAATGGCGAACTCCAGGTCGGAGTACGGCGTCACCAGTTCTGTGGCCTGTGACCCCAACCCAATGAAAGCGTACTTACAGGGAGGAGGTCCGATTTGGGCGATGCATTCATCTGTCAGTACTTGGATAAACTCTTGTCTTCCAGCTGCGATGCTCTTGAACAAGTTCTTGATTGCTTCAGCTCGTTTGATCTCTACCTCTCTCACGACGGGATCGTCTTCATCATACTGATAAGGGTTGTGTTCCTGATGAATTGCTTCGAGCTGAGATTTTGCACAGGCGCGCGAGTTGTCCAGTTCCTTTATGTGATCTAACGCGCTGCTATACGGACACGGTTCGCAGTCAAGGTTACAGGTGTTTCTGAGAAACTGCCTTTCTGTTTCTCGCAGTTTCGTTACCATGTTTTGTTTGTCTCCATCTGTTCTGGCCATGGAGGCGTTATACAGAGCTGCCGCCTGTGTGAATTTCCTACCTTCTCCAGTCCGCTTGCCTCGCTCGACGTAGACGTCACCCAACCTGCACAGACAGTCGGCTTCTTTAGCCTTCTTGGGTTTACTTGGGTCTGTATATGGGAATTAGAAATAAATGGATAAATTATTCGGATGGATCAAACTGATACCTTCATGGATGATATCTATGTTTGAACGTACGGAAATTCGTCCAAAAATAACACTGTCACTTGTAAAATATGATAACTATAGAAGTTGTCAAGAATTGAATTTTTGATGATAGAGGAAATTAGTTTTGACTCTTTATCGTACTGCAACTTTTAATTAGACATATCATGAAGACAATGGATGGAAAGTATATAACAAACCATGAACCAGCTTCAGGGCGGCTGCTAGGTTCTGCTCTGCTGCGTCCAGGTCTCCATTTTCCACGTCACGGTCTGCCGTCTGGATGTACCTGCGGTAGGATCTAAACAACAAAACAAGTATTTTTAAATACTTGTTCTTTAAAAATTAACATGCTTCACAAAGGCGACAAGTGCGCCACAAAGTGTTGAACAAAGCATTCATTAATATTGCCACAAACTGACTAGTATTTTTGACACAGTTATCCACTTTTGCATTCGATAACGTAATGTAATAAATTTTGGACAACAATATAACCCATATTCATATTTGATATTCAAGAGTTATTAAGATTTGAAGAATCAACAACACCAAATACATTAGACAAGGAAAGAGGCACCAACATGTCGTCCACTTGACTGGTGCTTCCGTCGCTAGAGGACGCAGCTGAGAAGGCAGAGAAGTGGCCCTTCCGTCCCCTTACATTTTTCTGTCGTTGCGTACGTGTTGACCTCTATAGGAACCGATGGGAAGCTTATGATTACTGGTCAGGTTATCTAATCCACAAAAAAAATCGACCAATGGTCAAAGGCTAACGACCTGACACAATGTTGAATACATGTACACTACAGAGTATTTGGACGGGGATATAAAATGTGATGATTATATATACATATATAACTACAAGAACAAAATAAGACACATTTTATCCTATTGTCAAGATGTACACATACCCACCAAAGGAAAATACATATTCCTTGCACTATTCTGTCCCCAAAGATTAATTAACTAGATTCAGTACAAACTCGACACCCACAGTTTTGTTCGGGGAATTAAGGAATGAAGTGACGAAATCAATACAAGAATCTGTTTTTTTGACCTCAGGTGACACAATAAGCCTTTCACCAATAGCACCGCGAAATGCTAGCCTGGGTACCATCCTACTTGTACGCCGTGGCTCCCACACTCGCTTCCCTAATAGGGAAGCGAGTGTGGGAGCCACGGCGTACAAGTAGGATGGTACCCAGGCTAGCGAAATGCATGACGGGATATATTTAGATAAACAAACCAGGAAGTGCACTCGTGAGTTCTGACTAAGTAAAATAGTTCACTCACCTTGTTTCTTGTTGTGGTGATGTCTTGCCTGATTTTTGCGGTGTGCAGTAAGCGGTGAACAATGACAACTGTTCCATGAACGTTGTGACACCGCGCCAGTGCCCTGTTGTACAGAGCAGTAGCTCTGGTCAAGTTTCTAGTGTCTCCAGTTTCTGTTCCTCTTTTCTGGTACACGTCACCCAGACTCTTGATCGCTTCTGTTTCTAACATGCTGTTGTCGTTTATTATCGCCTCTACCATCATCTGTGCGTATCCAACCAGCAAAGAGTCTCTGTTACCTCCAGTAGCCCGTCTCTTGTCCAGATCTTGAAACTTTGCCGCTACCTTTGCAGGTGTAGTCGTCTCCTTGTCTTCAGTTGGATGTTCCTTACCCTGTGACGACACCCCTTGTAAAAGCCTCTCCATGTAGTGGTAGCGGTGTTCTATACCATCTGCCTGTTCTTCATGGTAACACCGTACCATAGCAGCCAGATAAAGGGCCAAGGCTGTGTTGAACTTCCCCACGTCCTTCCCGAGTCTTCCCTTCTCCACGTTCACGTCGCCTAGAGTTTTGAGCAGCTCCACTTCCGCCAGCCTGTCCGTGTCGGCCATGGCGTCCACCAGGGCACGGAGGTAGCCTGTCTCCGCCCGGGCTAGTCCGTACCTCCTGCCCTTCTCGTCCGCCTTACGGAGTTTCTCACACACCCGCAACATGGCGAGTTTCTGCTGCGAAAATGTCCCTAAAACTCCTTGTCTTCACGGGTTCTCTGTGTTAGCTTTATGGGCCTGACTTGAACAGGTTTCACACTGCTTGTGTCAACATTACGTCATCTTTCAATGCAGAGGTCAATGGTAAAATACACAAAAGGTTCGGAAATACCCGTGTCCGTAAACATGTCAGGTAACCTGCCCACCTGCGTAAAGTGCTTAAGTGCTCAGGCCGGGCCTCTTGCTTTCTTAACACAGCTTTCGAGGCATCCTGGTTCTTCGCCGACACCACTGCGTCTCTAGCCTCCTTATCAGGCGTTCCCGAGTCGGATTTTCTGATCAAACGTCCGGAGATATATGTAGGGTTGCCGGCCGGAGCTTCTATTGCGTGCGTTTGATCAGAAAGTACCCCCCCCCCCAAAAAAGGCCGATCCGGGAACGCCTGAAAATGAGGCTATCCATCCATCTCTGGGTTCTAAACGATTATATAAAGTCCATTGTCATTTTCCATTTGATCTTTCCACCATTTGGGGTTTTTCAGGTGGTCTCGTGTTCGGGAGACCCTGCTGGTATACCTTAGGCCATGTCTGTACACCCAGAAATTACAGTATATTCCTACCTACCCGAAAAAATCTACTCTACTCTTCTCAGGCCTATGCACTGTACAGTCTGTAAGTCTATGCTAAATTAATGTTTTCTGCCCGGCAATGTGACCGTTTATGGTGTCAATGTTTTGTGTAGCGCTGGTGACATTGACAACATTTTCATTAGGCCTTTTACCACGGTTCCCACTTGGTATTAGGCGGGCCGTTGATTCTGTACTTGGGTCGATGCCCTGATATCCCATATCGGGATTCCATATGTACTGTATTGTGGATTTCCTATCAAATAAATAAGATCAAATAAATACATGTAGATCGGTGAATAGCGAGTGACCTTTGTCAATCAGGTCTACTTTTACTGCTTCGTGCCTTGAATTCCACTCCAGTACAACCGTGCCAGAAATTGTGTACTGGCACCCCTACTTTAGATTAAGAACCGCATCAGCAGCCTTTCCCAAGGATTCATAAAGAGCCTCGGCCTACTGTGAGCAAAACGGGTTTAAAAACTGTCAGTGTTCAGTTGAATGGTATTGCTTACCTTTTAACCTTCTTGTTTCCGCCATAAAGACCTGCCTCTTCGCTCCTATATTTCAACATTTCCAACATCTGTACTGGAGAGAAAATTTTTGCTCGGTTGTCTTATCATTTTATTTTTGCAGTGCAGTTTCTGTACATGCCGCCAGATGGCGTGCTGCTATTGATGAATTTTGAACCTTAAGGTAGGTATTTTATTTTGTTTACGATTTTCCTTCTAGTAAAGTCTCATAACCAGTTTCTGTATGTACCGACCACCCATGACCTGACCTCTGACACCGCAGGTACTAGATGCGCTGTGTAGTCCATCAATGTCATTCCAAGGTCAGGTGTAAGTTCGGACAGAATCCAGACGCGGACCTGTGGCTGCAACCCGCGGGTCGGATTCCCAACCGGCGTGTTGAAGTCGCCAATTTCGGTCCAATCTTAGCTCAGAGACAAGGCCAAAGTCTAGGTTTGATAACCATCTACTAGTATCGTATATGAATATTTGCAAGTCTCAGCCATCGAACTTGGACGTAGAATTCCAAGAATCTTTTTAAGTTTAGAAACACCTCCAAGTCCTAACAATCTAAAAATTCTTGTATATATGTATCGTGAAATCAACGAGTCCTGAAAACTTACGAAGTATCACATCTGATCATCTGCTACTTTTCCAGCACTGATACAATTCTTGCTACAACCAACGACACATCATAAGAACAGAGGACAGCACTACTGGTCATGTAACGTTTATTTTTGGTGTAAGTAATAAAAAAACATTTGAAGCAGAACTAGTATTCTTCGTGTGGCACTTGTAGACCCAAAAATAACATCTTAGCTTCCAAAATTTACACATTACAGCGTACCACATAAAAAGGGCCACTTTTCTCGAAAGTGGTTCTAAATAAACTAGATCTGCGGGAACGTTACACTTGGCACTACCCTAAACAAGCGTCAATCTCATTAAACAATGATACATTATGTACACTTCGTCATGTCAAACATTTGGATAAAAGTTTTAGAAAACGTCATAGTAATAACTTATGTATACGTATTAAACATTGCGATGGAATGTTAATTGTCACATCTGTCTCTAATAATATCCGTACATTCTCTTGATATGTACATTTGCGAGAATTCATCAAAAATACGGACAGGATTTTTATAGCATTGATACGTTATCGAACCATCGTCAAAATAGCAGGATCTGCTAAGCCGTGCGTACGTTCATTATTACATGGGATAAAAAATTTCCATGATTTTCCAGAAAGTGATTAATTAATTATTAAATCTAGCGGTGAAAGTCGATCGTATCAATCATCAATACTCTGTTCGAAAAGTATCAAAAGTGATTCTCTGGAAGATAACATACATAAAACACTTAAAACATTTTCATACATAAACATTTGTCTGTCTGTACATTTGATACAGAGTTTCACCATGTAGAGTTCTGTCTCATATTCTGAGCTCCTGCTCGGAGCCCGTGGGTGACGGCACGCGCGTCATGAACGTGGAGGAGTAGGCGGAGCGGCGGTGCGGCGTGCTCGCGCCGGAGTTCGGGCCCGTCACCAGCGGCGACACGGAGGGCGACCGCGTGGCCAGCGGCGACAGGGACGGGGAGAAGCTGGGCGTGAGCGCAGGCGACGTGAAGGTGGACTCGTGGCTGATGGGGGAGCGGGGCAGGGAGGATATGGAGGTGGCCTGGCTGGTGCGGGACGAGCCGCCCAGCGCGATGGGCGCGATGGTGGAGGTGGAGCTCTGCGGCAAGTTCGTGATCAGGGGAGGGGGGTGAGTTCTGACTTTCGGCGTGAACGCCGACTTGGGGTGGTGGATCTGCCGCTTGGCGACAGTCTCGTCTTTCAGCTTGGCGATCTCGAGGAACACGTCAGCCATGGGCTGATACTGTGGACCCCAGTCCAGCAGGTAGTCCCAGTTATAACTGCCTCTGAGCTCCTCCTCGCTGGCCACGATAGAGCTGAGCGAGCCGGCCACGGACGGCTGCCCGTCGTCGATGAGCACGAAGTCGCGCGTGCCGTCCATGATGGCCTCGTTCTCCTCCATGCCGACCTCGTGCAGCTTCTGGTGGATGAGGTTGCCGATGTCCATGTCCCCGCCGGCCTCGCCGCCGCCCTCGTCCCGGAACACGTGCATGCTCTCCACGCTCTTGCTGATCATGGTGTTGAGGTGCGAGCCCTGGTTGGACGTGACGGCCAGCCGCGAGATCAGGTCCGCCGTGTCCTTCACCGACATCTCCGACATGGCGTCCTCGTCGTGCTGGATGCCCGAGTCCGGGATCTCCCGCACCTTGTGCTGGTCCGAGTTGGGGGAGATGGAAGCCGGCGTCTCGTTGATCTTCCGGATCTCCTCGTCCTCGTCCACCTCGGAGGAGCCGCGGCCGCTGGACTGGGAGTTGTTGGAGTGCTCGGAGATGTCCGTGCGCGTCAGCGTGCCCATGTCGCCCGAGTTGTCGGCCGTGGCGGCGAAGGAGGGGTGCCCCCGGAACATCCTGAGCTGCTGGCTCTGCTTCTGGCTGCCGTCCCGCCCGAACGAGTGCGTGTTCTGCACCACCACCGTGTCGAACGACCCGTCGAACGAGGTGGGCGGCGGCCGCTGCTTCCTGCGCTTGAACTTGAGCACGACGAGGACCACGCAGAGGATGACGGCGATGAGCGCGAAGATCAGGATGAGAGCCAGCGAGAGCGGCGTGAGGGGCTCCAGTCCAGTGTAGGCGGCCGGGTTGCACCCGGGGCAGCTCCGGTCAATTTTCACCGAGATGGCCTTCTGCTGTTTCTGAGAACCGGGCCTCCCCGAGCTCGCCTCCACGATCATGTTGATCTGGTCGTCGTTCGTGGCTTGCCGGCGCCTGCGCCGGGCTTGGTCGGTTGTCGCGTCGCCCTCCAGCAGGCTGGCTTTCACCGTGATCACCCCGGACTCGTTGATGGCGAACTTGTTGCTCTGGATGGAGTACGTGACGATTCCGTCGGGACCGCCGTCCTGGTCCGTGGCCTCGACCTGCCCGACGAAGGTCCCGATGTCGGCGTCGGCCATGACGGTGAAGATGTAGTTGTTCTCGGTGAAGACGGGCGGGTACTCATCCACGCTGGTTATGGACACGCCGACCTGCACGTCTGTGGACAGCCCGCCCGTGTCCGTCGCCCGGATGTAGAACCCGTACGTGTTCGTGGTCTCGTAGTCGAACACCTCCCTGGTGCGGACCTCGCCGGTGCTGGCGTCGATCGCGAACGCGTCCTTGCCCTGCGCCACGCCGCTGCTGCCGTCCCCGGCCACGTCCCGATCCAGGATGGCGTACGAGAGCGTGCCGTACACGCCGGCGTCCTTGTCCCGCGCCTCGGCGGTGAACACCAGCGTGCCGACCGGCTGGCCCTCCGGCACGTCCTCCAGGTACATCAGCACGGGGAAGTCCGGCGGGTTGTCGTTCTCGTCGATCAGGCTAATGAGGACGGACGCGATGGTGTGCTTGGCGCCGTCCGAGGTGCTGTCCTGTGCGCGCACCGTCAGGTTGTGCTGCGCGACCGTGTCGTAGTCCAGAGGTCTCGCCACCGTGACGGCGCCGGTCTGTGCGTCGATGGCGAACAGCCCGTCGTCGTTCCCAGACGTGATCTCGTAGTGGATGTCTGCGTTCGGGCCGGAGTCGGCATCGAAGGCGAACACGCGCACCACGAACGCTCCGACGGGCGCGGACTCGGTGATCTGGGCGGCGTACTGCGTGGCGTTGAAGACCGGCGAGTGGTCGTTCACGTCGTCGACGATGACGTACACGGAGACCGTGCTGTTCCGCTCCGGGGTCCCGCGGTCGCTGGCCAGCACTCGCAGCGTGTACAGCGCCACCTCCTCGCGGTCCAGCGACCGGAACAGGATGATCTTCCCCGTGTACTGGTCCGAGTTCGATCCCGGCCCCGGCTCGATCGTCTCGATCTGGAACTTCCCGTCCTCGTTGCCCTGCACGATGCCGAAGTGGATGTTGCTGTTGTCGTGCGATTGGTCGGCGTCCGTGGCGGTAACCGTGGCGACGGTGGTCCCGCGGGCCGCGGCCTCGCTCACGTGCTCCCGGTACTCTCCCGCGGTGAACTGCGGCGCGTGGTTGTTGATGTCGTTGACCTGGATCCTAACGGCGACGACGGAGGCCAGGGATGGGACGCCGTGGTCACGAGCCTCGATCACCAGCTGGATGGTGGACTGCATGCGGGTGATCTCAATCGTCTTGTTGGTGAAGATGGTGCCTGCAGAAAAAATAATGTGACACACATTTGTTAGCTCTATGACCAACAGTACATCACGGACAAATCAAGATTGAATGGACATATACAGACCACTAGATATGCAATAAGTTTTGCAAGATATCCTGCAATCTTTCACAAAACACCATGCAGAGTTTTTTTTCAGTTGTAATTAGTATTCTGTTTTGCAGTTGTAAGTGTGTGTAAATGTGTTTTTGTAATCATGTGTATACTGCCACTTTTATGGATGAACTCCAGGAAGAACAGATGTACTCTAATCTACTAATGGATTTCTAACAAAACATTGGTATGAAGAACTGACCGTTTCTGGGGTCCACGTAGAACCCTTCGACCGGTGCCACCGTCATGCTGTAGGTGATCTCAGCATTCCTGCCGGCATCTCGGTCTGTTGCCGTCACAGTCGCGACTGAGTAGTGAGGCGGGACCATCTCTGCTATGTCCACCTGGGGAACAACAGACAACACTGTCAGAAACACATAATGACACAAGAGGCGAGAAGTTGAACCAGTAGCCATTAGTCGTTGTAGACAAAGTAAGACACAAGATAACTGTACTGAATTTTGTCACCACTACTTGTATTTAGCACATAAGAGCATAAATATATGATAAAGGTCTTCAGAAACACACACTAAAAGAAAAGGCAAGAAGTTTGACCTGTACATGCTACTATACATTAGAACTGTAGATGTAGATGAAGTAAGAGACCATTTTCCAAATGTATGATAAAAGTCTTTCATTCATTCACATTTGATTTCATTCAGATGTGACTTCTATGCATTATAGGTATTCTATGTATTCTAGATATTCATTTTGGGCTATAGCCTCTTCTGTATCCAAAAACATGGAAGTTTTGCTCAATCCTGCAGATTGGAAGTATTTATGTTTTTGAGGATAGGGCAACTGTTTTTTCCCCAATCCTCAATGAATAAATGTGAATAGAATGAAATCTTCCCCGTACCTGGTAAGTCTGCTGGTTGAAGACTGGCGGGTTGTCGTTCTCGTCCAAAACGTTGATCTCCACGTTAGTCTGGTCTGTGTGCAGCTCATCTGAAGCAACTATCGTGATCACGTAGCTCTGTGTGGTTTCCCGGTCCAACGGCTGGGCCAGGGTGACCTTCCCGCTGTATCTGTCGATGCTGAAGACCCCACCAGGGTTTCCTTGCGGCGTGAAGGTGTAGGTGATCGTTGGGTCCGTGTCGATGTCGTTTGCAGTCACCAACGCAAGCTCGCTCCCCACCTCAGCACCTGAGAAAAGGGAGGATGAACGTTTGTTAATAGTTGTTGGTTGAAGGCTAGCAACAAGAAAGGACATCACTGATTTTCAATACAACAGTTCTGTTTACATACAGGTTTGGTTTAATTTTTTAGTTCATAGTTGACCATATGAAAAGTACTTTACTTTTGCTATTATCAAAGCTTCTTCCATCATCATCTTCCATTCATTTTTTTTTACGTGTCAAGACCTACCGACTTCATCCATAACTCCAATCGAAACATCCAAATACTATCAAAAACTAAAATTCAACTCATCTTCTACATGTAGCACATTGAGAGGGGGTAGGTTCGGGGAATATGCTACATGTAGAAGACTTCTGTCCTACCACTTGCTACATAAATATAATCCAACACCACAAAGCTTACCTTCCGGCACGTTAACAGGAAGGTAGGGTGAGGGCAACCTGGGTCGGTTATCGTTGATATCCACAACACATTACCATTCCCTGATGCTCTGTCCTACCACTTGCTACATAAATATAATCCAACACCACAGAACTCACCTTCCGGCACGTTAACAGGCGGGTAGGGTGCAGGGAACCTGGGTCGGTTATCGTTGATATCGACCACGCTGATCCTGAGCGTTGCCGACCCGGTCAGGCGGGGCGTGCCCTTGTCGACGGCGCGCAGCTCCAGACGGTAGCTGTCCCGCACCTCCCGGTCCATCTGCACGTTTGTCGAGATGATCCCGCGGTCCCTGTCAATCACGAAGGCGTTGTCGTGGTTACCGCTCACGATAGAGTACTGGACCTCCGAGTTGGTGCCGCTGTCTGCATCAGTCGCTGAGACCTGGATAGACAAACAAAACAGTCATGATTTATTTAATGTTACACATCAATAGCAGATGTTGCCACTTTTGCACTTTGAGTTTTTGCTGTTCTTGTCAAAAGGAGCCATTGACACAAGTTATGGCAAAAAAGTATTAGACATAGCAATGCTATAACAGAAACTTTTCTGCTGCATAAGAAGAGTGGAATCATTTCATCAGCTGACCAACATCTTTTGCACCACAGTTGTTCCTCAATAAGACATCTTGAGTCGCATGGTTCCTGTTTAAAACCTTAGATCAGTCACTGATCAATTTTGGCAAAGTGATTTCTTCACTGGCTAAGGCTATAGCAACTTTTCTGCAGATCTTACCTGTATCACGAACATGCCCCTGTCGTTGCCCTCCCACACAGACGTGGTGTACCGGTCCTGGTCGAACCGCGGAGCGTTGTCGTTCTCGTCCCGAAGGTTGACCCACACTGTGGCGTAACCGTACAGCGAGGGGGTGGTGGAGTGTGCCGTCACGATCAGCCGAACGCGCTGGGCCGACTCAAAGTCCAGATTGGTCGAGTCCTTCACGGTGATCAGCCCGGACTGCGAGTTGATCTCGAAGGATTCGTCATCGTTCCCGCTGGCAAAGCTGTGGTAAAATCATGGTTTATTTAAGTTGTAAGTACACCACGTTTACAGACAAATAGAAAACTGCTCTTCTCTTCACATCACAAAAACCCAGACATTATAGAAAAAGTAGGATTATTCATATTCCACTGCCTCAGAAAAAGTTAGAATTTACATGAACTTGAGACGGTGCTGTAACATTTGTCAAGGACTAGGACTCGCATTAAGATATTGAATTATTGTAAAGTTCAAACTTTGTTCCAACACAAGAAAGGACCTTCATCAGATGTGTGAACTGTGATGCACTCGCTAAATCTCCAGAGAGATCTTCTGACGAAGGTTGAAGAGATTGACCAAAAATTTATGCTGAGTTCCTTTCTTGTGTACTGTTTGAACTTTATAACTATGAATTCTACCAACACAGATGAGCTTTCATTCAAGATATACAATATCAATATATGACTAACCTGTAAGTGACAGCTGCGGCCGCTCCGTCCTCGCGAGCTGCGCTGACAGAGATGATGTCTGTGTTGGCGGCGGCGTTTTCGCTGATGTAGGCGCTGTAGGTTCCATTCTCAAACCGCAGGGTCGTCATGCTGGAGTCACTCATCGTGATCACTACAAGGCCTGGGGACAAGAAGCAGCAATGATGACTTCAGATATACTAGTGTAACAGTATTCTAGCATTAGGCTTTCTCCCCGAGAGCTTCTTGCTAAACACCTCTAACTACACTTGAGGGAACCATTCCCAGAACTAATAGAAGCTCAAGAAAACAAGTCCAATGGAAATGCAGAACAAAGTTTGAACGTGGGGAAAAACCCAGGTGAGAAGCACAAATTACCACAGACACTAGTGACTCATGTCTGTTGACCTACATGTCAGATATGAACTGAAATAATGATGACTGTGGAGACTACCCACTATGAGAATACATGCTCATCCTAATGATGCCTACAGCTCAACAACAACAGTCTTAAGATTGATGTCTTACCAGTGGAGCTCCTTGCAGGGGATCCTTGGTCCTCAGCGATGACTTGTAGTCGGAAGACGTTGGAAGAGTCAGTGATCAGGCTGGACTGGGTGGTGATGACTCCACTCCTGGCTCCGATGTTGAACTTCTGGGAGTTGGGATTCGAGCTGTCAAACCTGAAATGGGAAAAAATAAGCATAAGTCTGTGTTACGGCGTAGACAATTCTCAATCTGACAATAGTTGGGCTGTGTTAACACATAATTATGTATACATCAATAGGATTTAGATGTTGCCAGTTCTTCTAACTTAGAGGTGTTTAGACCAACAAGCATTTAGTTCTAGGGGCCTGACCAATGGAAAATATAGCAACTGGACATAATGAAATCAGATGGTAGGCAGGAAAGCTTGAGTGTATTCATCCATACATGTCCATAAAACTTTGTGCAAAAAAGGCATGAACCTGGTCTTCAGGCTTTGTTTTCATTATGTTTTTCCAGTCAAGCATATTTATCCTAACTCCACAAAACAACTACAGGAAGTAGCTAAACTCTGACCTGTAGAGAATCTCAGCGTTGGACCCTGTGTCCTTGTCCTCTGCAGTCACGGTCAGCACGTTCTGGTTAACTCCGATGTCGCGCTCGATGGTGGTCTCAAACGGCACTTGGGTGAAAACGGGCGCATTGTCGTTTACGTCGCTGATGTCCACCGTCACGCGCACATTGGAGGTACGAGGCCCAAACGGCCCGCGGTCAGACGCGTAGGCGTCGAAACTGTATACTGACTGCTTCTCTCGATCAAGGAGCCTGGAAAAAAGTCAGAAGAGAGAAAAAGTTAGTAACTATAAAGGTAACATTTGCATTTTTTCAGCAAATCATAATGTTAATCTTTACAAAATACTGCTCTGTTTATTCTTACACATTCATATATACATGTATGGTGACCAGCCTCTTATTGTCTGTCCTGCTACAGTCTGCTACAGCACTTGTTACCATGGCGATAGACATATGGTCCAGGCCATTGACCTCATGTGATTAAAACAGAAGAAGAGGAAGAAAAAGAAACTGAGCAAGAGAAAGTTAATACTTAATGACCTGGTTGTGATTGTGATGAAACAGAGAAAAATGAATTAGTGGAAGAAACAGAGCAGAAACAGACAAGTATGTTTTCCTTTTGCACAGGTAAACAACATTAGAAAGGTCCTGACCTTGTGGTAGTGATGATGCCTGAGGTGTTGTCTATGCGGAACATCCCGTTGGTCTCGTTGCTGAGGAAGTAGAACACCTCGCCGTTCACACCCTCGTCCCGGTCCCGAGCCGTCACGCGCACCACGGTCGAGCCGACAGACACATCCTCCTGGGGGGTGAATGAAGGAATGAATGAATCAATCAATAAATTACTGATTGTTTATCAGGCCATGTTGATTTGATTATATGGATGACATCCGCGCGCGCATGGATTTTCGGCCGTTTCCAAAAAAAAAAAAAGAAGTTTTCAACCATACTGTAAATCGTACAAAACAGTTGCAAAATGAGCAAAAATATACCGTAAGTTACAAAAAATAATAAATAAAAAGTATACCAATGTCGTAGAATGCCAAAATCAAACGAAAAAAGACGAAATTGTAAAGAAATGAACTTGAAGACTAGATTATTCGCCAAACCATATTCTGTGCCATTTGTTCAACCCTCATGACCCTCATTTCAACCCTCATTTCAAAATGAAAACAACTTTTTTTTTTGCAAAACTTTTTTTTTTCGCACGCGCGCATCAATTTTTGGGCTCCCGGAGGATGTCATCCATATAATTAAATCAACATGGCCTCAGATACCCTTGGCAAAAACATGCATTTATTGATAATTATGAAAGAATTAGTTGATTACATCAGAAGACAGGTAGAGTAAAGACATCCTCCTGTGTAAAAGCAACCAATGAACAAATGAATGAATGAATAATTGGTTCCTCTATCAGTAAATATGAAAATCAGATTTCAGTGCAAAACTTAGAGTTTTAAGAATTTCTTGTTTCATTCATTTTTGTGAATTTCTCGTCTACATTTTGCCACTGGCACCCAGCCAACAGTTGGCCAACTTCTTGCTTGCTCCTGATCTATCTTCCAGTGTCTGTGGTTTGTGGTTGTACTTACCTGTCTGGTCTGGTGATAAGACGGGTCAGTGAAGATGGGGTTGTACTAAGGTTGTACTGGGGTTGTACTGGGTTGTACTGAGGTTGTACTGAGGTTGTACTGACCTGTATAGTCTGGTGGTATGAGGGATCAGTGAAGATGGGGTTGTACTAAGGTTGTACTGAGATTGTACTGAGGTTGTACTGAGGTTGTACTAACCTGTATGGTCTGGTGGTAGGAGGGGTCAGTAAAGATGGGGTTGTTGTCGTTCTCGTCCGACACTGCGATGGTGATGTTGGTTGTGCTGCTGAGAGGCGAGGCCGTGTTGTCGTGGGCCTGCACAATCAGGTGGTACAGCGGGACGGTCTCCCGGTCCAGAACCTGGCCGGACACAACCGACAGCTGGCCTGTCACAGCGTCCACTGCAAACTTACCGCCTACATTACCATCTGGGGGGAGAAGACAAAGGGATTTGGATTATTAGCTTGGTGGATTTGAAAAGATATCCTGGAAGACACAGTTGACCCATCATCAGTGGAAACAAACAAACATCGCTGATCTGTTGATGAAAGTTTATTGTTAGGAATGGAAATGCTTGTCAACAAAGCTTATAGTTTGTAAACAGGGCTTATAGTTTGTTAATTTGTATACAGTGCTAAGAAAACTGGTCCACCTGTCTTTCTTTAAGTGCAAGGAAAAGAAACTTAACCAAATTCTAAGAGTATTCAGTATTTATGTCTCATATGATAGAAAATGATGTTTGATTTTGCACCTAAAATCTTGCAAAGAAATCAATGGCTCCATGGGAAGAAAGAACACTCACCGACAATCTCGTATCTGACTTGTCCGTTGGTGCCGATGTCAGCGTCGTAAGCCACGACCGTGTGGATGATGCCGTAGTTCGGCTGGTTCTCCGGAACCGTCATCATGTACTCCGCGTCTTTAAACACCGGCGCGTGGTCGTTTGTGTCGAGAACGCTCACCACAACCGACGCGAAACCGAACCGGGAGGGGTATGCTCCGTCACGGGCATAGGCTGTAGGGAAACAACAACGGCATGGGTTAGATACGTGTACTTGCATATGTCCTTTTACAAGCAACTTACAGTTCAAGTGCTTTAGTCACAAAACAGTAAAGTTAAAACTGCCCAAACAATCCAGAGGATGCACAAAATAGTACCTGGTGTATGTGGACAGGTGGTCACTTTACACAGGGTTCTTAAAGCTTCTCTCAATGATAAAACTTATCTAAGGGACCATTAAAAGGTGATCACAATGGGACAGGTGGTCATTATGAAGAGGCTGCCACTAGTACAGGTTTGACTGAATCTCAAGAGGTTATGAAAGGTTTCCCAATTCTTTTTAAGAGGCCTTGAAGATATGCAAATAAGTGACAAAGTGTGCATGTACAAAATGTACTTCAAAACATTCTAGTGACAGGATCAAGAAAAATCTACTTCCATCCCTACAAAATGAACTCTCTGACATCACACTAACTGAGAGTTTGCCACCCTCCTAATCTCCCAGGACCTTCCGGTATGCGTAACTCAAGTCTCCGGCACTTTGTCTGCGTTAAACACTGATGAAAGACGGAAAAACAGTTGGCGTGCCACCCACCTCACAGGAGGGGCTGGGCATTCGTAAATATTCCAGAATTTAGGGCTGAGTTTGGATAACAACAAGCAACAAGTGTTTATCGTATAAACATCTTCAAGGCCAGCTCTGCCTGATTTAAGCCAGAAAGTGATGTAACATCTAGATTTGATACGTAACACTTGCTTGTACACAACATAAATATTCTAGAATTTATTACTGGGTTTACCCAACGATAAGCAAGGCTGTTTATCGTATAAACATCCTCAAGCCATTAGGTTTTATGTTTTATACAAGCTGATGTTGAATAAGAACAGAGGCTGGAATAACCTTTAGAATTGATGATATGCAACACTTTTTTAAGGCCTATAATATAATAAGGTCTGATAAATTAAATGTAGAATTTAGAACCGGGGGTGTTGCTAACAACAAGCAATGTGTTTATAATGCGAATATCTTCAATGCCAGGCCTGGCTGATTTGAATGTAAATATTAGTCTTAAAAGCTGAAGTTGAATCAAAGGCCAGAAAATGATCAGATGACACTTTTAGAATTGATATGTAACACTTTACAGGACCTTTATGAACAATCTACAGTTTATAACTGGTGTTAGTAAATGATGAGCAGATGTAGTTTACAGTATAAATATCCTCAAGGCCTTAACTGTTGTTATATGACCTGATGTTGAAGCAAAACAGAAATCGGAAACCAAATTGTAACATCTTGACTTTTATGAGCGCCACCCACACACAGGACGTTCATAAATATTCCAGAATTTAAGACACCCAGTCTAGTTAACGACAAGCAAGGCTGTTTAAGGATAAATACACCGATGGACAGCCATTCAAATGTTATACAGACTGGTGTTGAACAAAACCAGTAGCGGATGTTACCTCTTCTTTACCACCAAACTCACAGTAAATTATCTCAAATTTATGAGAGGGTTTAGGTAATGATAAACACTGTTACAGTAGTATATGAGATAGTTTTATGATGTTATTCATACAACTTATTACAAGCAGAGATTTAAGAAGAGAAGAGACCAGAAATCTATGTGGCACTTTATAATAACCTCCCAATCTTAACAGAACTTTTATAGATATTCTGAACTTTAGGGTGTAGATATCCTAGTACATGACATTGTATGCAAGCAATCAGTCTAATGGAGACTATGACAGAAACTGAAGGCTCTGAAGTTATACAGACTGACACTGAATGAGAGCAGTACCCGGAAAGTCATGTATTATCATAGATTGTTATCTGTGTGAGAAGACACATAAAATCTGTTGTCTTGTCTGGTTTGTCAGGCACCTGTTTACACCCAACATGGGAGAGGGAATAGTCAGGATTCCTGAATACTGGGAGGTACCAGATTCCCATGGGTTCAGCAGATTCAGAGGATTCCATGTGTGATATTTCATTTTGTCAAATACATTATATTTTATGTTATCTTGTCAATATCACTGTTCAAGCTATATTCTGCTGAATTATATGTTGTGTTCTATTGTGTGTTCTTTGAAAGCTTTAATTTATTATGGCTTCCGAACATCACTGTTTAAGCTATACTTTTGCTGAACTATTTGTTGTGTTCTTTTGTGTGTTTGTGTGTTCTTTGATAGTTTTATTTTATTAATAGCTTCCGAAGATCACTGTTTAAACTATACGTTTGCTGAAAAATATTTTGTTTTGTGTTCTGAAATAATATTTAGTTCTTTTGTACATAAAGATATTATTGCAACTCTTTCAGATATGAAAACAACCCCTCGAGACAGATAGCTGTTTATAGTCAATCTCAAAGAATGTTTGAACTAGTTATCTGTCTGATGACACATCATGACAGGAATCTAATGAATCTTACAAGGAAAATTAAGATAACAAACAGAGAGAATACCAAAATTCCTTATTCCTTACTACATTTGGGTCATCTCCAGTTATGTAGTATGAATCCTACAAGTACATGTACAATCTATTTTATTTACAACAGTAGTGTGAGTTTGGTGCAACGATTTCTGAAAATGTATTGTGTTAGCAAAGATTTATCAGCTTGCAGGGTTTGTAAGTGTGGAAAATGTAGCATAACTTTCATCAGATTCAGACAGGAACACACAACATAGTTACAGCAGCCACCAGACTATGTCCCATAGTTCCCGCATTCTTCCTGCTTTTCACACGCGAAGCCACACCGCAGCCAAGGCTGGCCTCGAGCTCATGTTTCAGGAATATGAAGATGTGAGACTGTAATTGTGAGGATTGGGAGCGAGCAGGTTATATGAGAGGTCTTTTGCTCAAGGGGAGGATTAACCTGAATATGCACCATGTTGGCTAGCCTGGTAATCAGACCAGGCTCCCCGGTATCTCTATGTAGCTGGGAGTACTGTTAGCCTGGCTGCCAGACCACCGTATGCTCCCCCGTATCTCTACAGTGTTAGGAGTACTGTCTGCCAGCCCAGGTCTATTAGCGTACATCTGGTATCTTACAGGGTCTGTTTCAATTACTGTAGTTCACCTACAGGAATTATTAGAAAGGCCGGCTGGAAAAACCTATTATGTCTGGGTAGGCCATTGGAGAAAGGTAACCAGGCTAAAAGTTGGTTTGATTTCACAGAATGGTACTAAAGGACAGTTCTGTATGTTTCTGATTCTTAAGACAGAATCAAGATAACTTCCCAGGCCATTGTTTTTACCTTGTCCTATTCCTTGCTTTTTTACACAGAATTGTCAGAAAGTCAAGAAAATTAACTGCTGTGGCCTTGAGACTAAATATATCACTTCTGACAGGTAGACAACAGATAAGGGTAAAACTATTGGCAGTGACACTGACAATGAACTGCACTAAACAGCTCTTCCTGAGTGACAAAACCCACGCCATGATGTCAGCCACACAAACTGAAGAACCTCCATCAACACCTAGGGGGAAATACTTAACGACTTTAGCGCTGACGAGTTTCAGGAAATACAAAGTCTGGCGAAGCCTGACTCGCTATTGGCCTGGCTACATTCCCTCTGTCCTCACCAGGTCTTTCTCTGGCAGTCATGGCCGCTCGTTACCTCGCCTGGGTCATTAGTTACAAGGCCAGGCAACCGCTAATTAATTACCTACACAAGTGGAAGGTTATTTCTGAACCAGGAATGTGCTATGGGCAGGGGTGCAGCAAGTATGGAATGATTCGTTCATGCCATTCTAGCTGAAACACTCGGAAGGGTCTGCCAGAGGTTACTTTTCTTAATACTGGATAATCTTATGAAAACAAACACAAGAGAGCCATCTTCACAGCTGAAACCTGTAAAAGTATACGGAGTGACACTCTCCAAGCAGAAGTTTGGGCTTTGGCTTATTGTTGAAAAGGTTTTTAGGCATTCTCATCAGGTATTTTTTTTGCCAGAAAATTGGTAGTGTGTTGTATTCTGCCTTGCCAATTTGATAATGTCTTGCCCATTTATTTCTTATTTCTTGACAATTTGATGATGACATGACAATTTGCTACTGTCTTCACAATTTGATATTGTCTTGTAGCCACCGAAAGATCTGCTTAGAGATTGACAAAGTGAAGGAAATAGGCCGCTGTAACTGTTACGAAGTGATACTCTCCAATCATTTTTAACAGGCTTTCTTTTTTGTACCGGCATCTTTTTTTGCCAGTCAAACAGTGGTATATTACCCTGCCAATTTTATACTGTCTTGTAGCCAACAAAGATCTGCTTGGAGATTGAAGGAAGTGAAAGAAAGAGGATGTACCTGTGATGAAGTGATACTCTCCAAGCAGAGGTTTAAATTATAATAAAGGTAAAAGAAAGAGTCCATACCTGTGACGATGTAAGAGTCCTGTTCCTCCCTGTCGAGTCTGAAGGCCGTGCGGATCACTCCTGTCTGCTCCTCGATCGTGAACCTGTCCTCAGCAACACCGCGCGGGATGTTGTACGTCAGCACACCGTTCGTTCCTGAGAAATATGTATGAAGATAAGTTTTCTACATAATGTGATGTTACAGAAGCTGTGGGTTTCTCATTCCTTGAACAGTAAAAAATTTGGAATGTTCAAAATTTAGAGTGTTGAAAATTTGGACTGTTGAAGATTTTGGTCTAATTCTTGCAGAAATGACAGTTAAAGCTGCTCTATGTAGTTTTTTGCGCCAAAAAATCAAATATTCTGAATCTAACAAATCTTGGTCTTATCATTATTTACTATCACTTTTCAACACTTTTGCGTCATTAAATTACGTTTCTGGCGTATTTTGTTAGCGCAAAAACAGTCCGCTCGATGTGCGCTCAGTTGCGGGTGGCACCCAGTTGATGCCACCGCTGGAACGTAAACAAACAACGGTTTTCGTTCGGGAATCTTCGGTAAGTTCCGGCTGCGTGACGTCATGACTCTGAAACAAGATGGCGGGAATGGAGGGCGCTCGGGATCGGGTGAACCGTGGAGGTAGAAGGAGTTTGCTGACCAGTTCCGCCAGGAAAAGAAAGGAGAAGGACAAGTTCTCAAAGCGGGTGTTGTTGGTATAGCAGTAATCGAAGGAATAACGCGATCAAAACAAACCCGGAACCAAAGGCGAAAACCGGCTGTTAGAATCGAATATCCCGCTCCCGGGTGAAAGGTCAAGTTAGACCACGTGACAAATCTCCGGGCCGGCTCAGGAGTACTCGGACGTCAACAAACATGGCGGACACCCAAGCGCGAGCGTGCGATTTCTCAGTTTTCTAACCGCTCGTATCGCAAAAATATTGTCTCGCCTCCATGAACTGAATGGATCAGTGTAACACGGTAGGGTTTATTCAACTAGCAATGTAAAGAAATGGCCAGAAAATCGACTTTTTGTTTGAAGGTTAGACGGCCAAAAAACTACATAGAGCAGCTTTAAAATTTGTTTCATAATGACCTCTACCACCACAGATAAAAATTAAGAATAAGTTTGAATCATTTTTATTTCTTTAAAAATTGCTTGACTTTAAGTAACAAGGCAATCAGAGATGGCAGACTTCAACCCCTTACCCATATTGCTTTGTGACCCTTTCTAGTCCCACAGAAACAAATACTGGACTTAATTATGTCCATTCTACAAACACTCACACACGTACACACACACATGCAGAGACACTCACAGACACAGACAAGCCAAAAAACAACACTTGACTTATATTGCTTCAACACTGGTCTTTGAAAAGCCATTTTCCAAATGTCAAAGGCCCCATGTTGGATTTGGGGAACTGCTGATAAAAAGACCATATCTTTTCCTCCAGGCAACACTAAATCCGGCTGTATGCCAACAATCCATTAAACCCGAGGAGGTTTCATGCTATCTTAATGACGGCCATACAATCCATTAACTCGGATTAAAAGATTCAAATTCTAAACACTTCAATCTCTGAAGATCAAGCCTTTTCCTGGACAAACATTCGGCAGAAATGTTCAAAAGCTTCCTTGTCGTTTGGTATTCCTTTATGTGAGGAAAGAGAGAATACGTTCAAATTTACGAAAAAACAGCATTAAAAATCAACATTTGAAGATAGAAAAAAATCCCGGCATACATTTTTTGCTATCACTATAGTGTGCCTCTCTACAAAATATGGTCAATGAATACCAAAGCACTGGCCAGGAAAATTCATTTTTCTAAAAAGTGGGTGTGGCTCATAACTCAAGATGACGTCATGGTGACGTGATAAAAATTTGCATAAATTATTGTTTTGCAATAAGGTACTCATATAAAAAAATTCAATGACCACATGTAATTCTAACAAGTCTTTTTAAGATGTCCTCAAAGTCCTCAGAAACTTCAACAGCATGTTTCTTCTTGTCGGAACCGTTTCTCTGTAGCACAGCCATAACATTCCCCGAATCTTTCACATCTGATCCGAGAGTCTCGTGGATTTAAAGTCAGATTCCTAACATTTACACAGGTCCGTTCTGATTAACGTCATCGCACCACCCGGCAAAACCTTCTGAGCTACTTATCAGCCAAAATTTCGAGCTCATAATCTTTAAGATTTCACTCCAAAGATGCCTTGGATCTTATACGGCCCACTCAGGCCATTAGGATGACTCCAAAGGGTTTCTTTTAGCAGGCTCTTGCTCATTTAAGGTGTAATGTTTGACCATATGGTACAGGGGCAACTCTCATAATTCCACCAGATATCTTTAAACTGCCATAATATATCATTAGGAAAAGGATGAAGTTAAAGAGATCTAGAAATGCATGACCAGTAATGATTGAGGTATGCACACTTCTGATAGCCTGGTGTTCAAGACATTCTTGAGAAGGCCTTGATAAGTCTTTGTTTTCTTGATGTGGCGGTCGTACTTAGAGTTCCTTTATAATGGATATTAGTATAAGAACAGTGCACACTGAAGGAGATATTCTGATAAATCAAACTGGATTTCTATGAGTCTATATTTTAAAGTCTGAGCTAAACAAACATCTATTTTGCCAGTTCCTTAATGTAACCCAAAACATGTATTACTAAGTGGTTCGCATGAGCCTTGTTTTGAGGTGAAAATTAAAGTACATAGAAGAAACAACTCAAACTGCAATCTGGATCATCACTATTGTTACAATGCTGCACTCCAACAAACACAGTATTCACTATATCTTATTTGCACTTACTATAATTCACTATATCAGAATATGTAAAACACTAAGTTAAACAGAGATCTACAGAAAATGTACCTGCGTCTGCGTCGAGTGCTGTGATCTGTATAACTGATGTCCCCGGATCCTGGTTCTCGGAGACGCTGGCCTGGTACGTGTCCTGCAGGAACCGCGGCTGGTTGTCGTTCACGTCGCGCACGTGGATCGTGATCCGGACAGACGCGGCGCGCGACGGAGTCCCGTGGTCCGTCGCCGTCACGTTCAGCACGTAGCGGGACTCCGTTTCGCGGTCCAGTCGCCGCTCGATCGCTAGCAATCCTGCGGAGATTGAAAGCAATGTTAGTAGAGCACCTATCAGATACGTAATTTCTACATTGGATAGGTAACTGATATCTAACATTATTCAAAATGTGACAAAGCCTGCGGAGATGAAACCAGTTCATGAAGTAAGAATCTATGACACAAGAACTGTGAGAAATTGTACTGCCACTTTTCATCCCAACAATTCATTGCCAGATACCCTGAACAAACTTACACAAGTGTTGTATATTCTCAAAACTACAGTCCTGTGTTCTCTAAATTTCAGCACAGTACAATTCTTAATTGCTCTTTACTTCAATGACAGAAATTACTTTTGCAGTACTTTTATTCTTTTATATGGGCGAGTCATGCCTGAAATAAAGAATAAAGAAAGTTCTCCAGAATGACTTCAGTTTGATACAGGACTGGGGGAAGAATCTTTTAAGTTCAAGTTAATATTTCCCAACAGAGCAGACCTAACACATGTACTTCTGAAATAAATTGTACTTTCTATACATTTGACACCAAATGGCAACCTGAACAGTTTGAAATATGTTCTTTTACACCGGCTCTGTCAGCCCCAAATCCAACCCAGCTTCTAATTCATTACTGTTAATAAGTTTTCCCAGACTGAGTCTCTCAGAATCTGTGGAATTCAGGCTGACAACACGACCGTAACCTCTCTCCTAGCCAGACAGAACAGACCACATTTGGGGGCTCATTTTTTGACAAGATGCCAAATCTGTATGTCTAGAAATAGTAATAAGTTTTTACTCATAAATCTTGTCTGAAACAGGTACAGGTCTTGCTTTATGCTGTAGGATTTCTATTAACTAAGGTCAGGCCAAGTTGTTGCTTGTCAGATTAAAAGAAAAATGTTGACCCAGAATTAAGATCAACAAGAAATAAAGCCTGAGGGGAAGTCTGTGCCTTAGTGCAGCCTACACAGTTCAAGATACTTCAATGATGAAGGTGAGATATCCAGGTAACGAAAAACACTTGTTGTCAAGAAATTACTCAAGAAAACTGATTTTGAAAACTGTCAGGCATTTCAACTATCAACCACTTTTCGTCAGTGACTGACAAATGTACTTAAATACATCCAGGAAATAAGGAAATAAACTGATATGACTTGAGGTGTAAAAAATGTCTGGACATGATTAAAGAACTAACTTCAGATTACTCCAGGTAGAAAATATTGTAAACTATCATACCAGACACTTTGTGGCTGCTCTAAAAAATCCAGACAATGATATGCCCTTTGGCTTCTGTCTTTATGAATGGTACCTTAGGCCATCCCAGTTCAATTTGTTGGTTCTTGGACATCTTTAGTGAAAAATTGTAAGAATGGGGCTGGGAAGAAAACTTTAATCAATCCATATTATGTCACTCCCTGAAACTGTATAGTAGGTATCAAGGAACAGACTTTCCTCTCACACTGTTTTCAGGAATAAATATTCTAATCTCTAGCAATATTTTCAAAATCCAAGAACCAAGAACTTAAATTGTTGTGGCCTAATCCCTGCCCAGACAGTCAGCTCCTAATTGCCTGCCTTTTAATAAGAGGTGAAACCGATCCTGGTACAGGAAATACCAAGTTGAAAACCGTTTACAGAACAGAGCCACACTTAGCCTGTTCCTGGCCCCACAACCAGCCTGTGTTTTGTATATATACATGTACTACTGTGATTGACCAGTGTTCATATCAAAATGTTTAGTTCCAATCAGTGTGTGTTTCTGGTAGGAAATGTTTTAAGTAAAGTGGAAATAAGAAACGTATGTTACACTAAAAGCTGTTTCTGTTTTGACAACGTTTAGTGATTGTTGTATTATGTCTGTGACCTTGTATACTGCTGCTAGTTAAGCTGTTTTAAAGAATAACAAAAATGCCTCATACTTAGACTATAATTTTCTTATTTCTTCCTACTGTATGATGTCTGTACTTTTGGCGGGTAATATTAGGCCATTACCAGCTGAGTCTTGCCTGTGCTGATTTTTAATTATCCCTTTGCAAAACTCGGAGCACAAGTAATGGATGCTTTATCCCTGCTTTTGTACAATTTTGTTGAATGTAATAAAATGAAACTGAAACAAACAAACCTGTGTTTGGGTCCAGCAGGAACTTGCCGCCCTGGTTCCCGGAGGCGATCTGGTACGTCAGGCGGCCGTTGTCACCGAAGTCGTCGTCGACGGCGATGACGTACATCACGTGATACCCGACCGGCTCGTCCTCCATCACGTACGTCTCTGTACGCGACACGAACACCGGCGTGTTGTCGTTCATGTCCTGGGGGAAGGAAGGAACGAATGAATGAGTGAGTGAATGAATGAGTGAATGATGTACATGACGTGGTACCCGACCAGCTCGTCCTCCATCACGTACATCTCCGTACGCGACACGAACACCGGCGTGTTGTCGTTCATGTCCTGGGGGAAGGGAGGAAGGAATGAATGAGTGAATGAATGGATGAATGAATGAATAAATGAATGAATGGTTTATTGCTGACTTGTCTTGGTACTTTCTAAAAGACAATGGTTGCATTTGCATTCATAGTTTAGAATCTGGATGAGTGAATGATTGAATCAATGAATGAATGGATGAATGGGTTGATGAAGGTTAGACATCCAGGTAAACAATATTTATAGGAAATTCAAACTCTACACTCTACTACTGGATAAATTACCAGCTGAGTAATTTATCCAGTAGTAGAGTTGGAGAATAAATGAATGGTTTTAAAATCACTTGCAACTGTTTTGCTGAATTGTGGATTTCATTACAATACTTGCAATTGTAGTATTCAGAATATAAATAAAATAAGTCCTTCTAAAAGTTTTCATAAATATCTAACAATTCCATTATGGTATGGTAGAGTGTTAGTATCTGTTTGTTCTGCATCTCACCTCCACAAGTATCCGTGCGGTTGTCGTCTTCGTCCTGGCGTGTGATAGGTTGACGGGCTGGTCCGTTGCCTCGACGACGAGCGTGAACTGGCTGGTCTGCTCGCGGTCGATCGGGGTGGTTGTCTGGAGCGCGCCGGTGACCGGGTCGATGCGGAAGTTGTTCCCGTTGGGGAGCTGGTCCATGATGCGGTACCGGACCGCGCCGTTCCGCCCGCTGTCCACGTCCGTGGCGGAGAACGTCCAGACCGTGCTGTTCACCGCCGTGTTCTCCTGCAGGCCGAACATCACCTGTGGGGGGGTGGACAGTTTCAGTGTGTTAGTAAAATCATTCATTCAACATCATAAGAAAGCTTCATTAAGCCCTTGTCACGTTGGTAATAACTGGCCCAAACAGGCAACATAGCTCACAGACAAATACTACACAATACAGTATGTTGCATAATATTGCACCATATTGTTTGAAATTCTCATATACATTGTGCTTTTATATCACTGTAAGAATATGATAAGTGTCACTATTTACATTTAACATTTGTAATTTTTTGTACACAATGAGACTTCCATGTGAACATTATTGTGACTACTGTAACAAACTTAATATAATTCAAGGAATGTACAATCTGCCAAAGTATATAAGAAGCTGCAATAAATGAGAGTTTACTGACCGGGTCGCTGCGGAAAGTTGGAGCGTTGTCGTTGATGTCGATCACGTTGATGTTGACGTAAATCGTGCTGCTCTGCTGGCTGCGAGCGTTGTTGTCCTGCAGAGACAAGACACGAGATGACAATTACAACCAATTTACAATGACAAAGAGGGTCATATGAGGGATCTGGAAGTTGGTGATTCCTTTCCAAATCAGCCGGATAGAGGCCTGGGAAACCCCGTGTTAGCCACACGGTGATCTACATCATCACCCTTGCAGACTAAATGGAGATTCTACTAAATCAAAACAAACAAACAAACATACAAACCTGTGCCTGGACCACAAGAAAAAATAGCGTGCAATTTTTGTAACATGACTAGAGATCCTAATAAAAATAAACAAACAAATAAACAAACAAACCTGTGCCTGTACGACCAGCCTGTAGCGTGCGTTGAGTTCGAAGTCGAGCTCCTTTGCTGTGAAGATGCGTCCTGTGTTCCTGTCCACGCCGAAGGTGCCGTACAGGTTGCCCTGCATGATCTCGTACGATACGCGCCCGTTTTCACCCTCATCGTTGTCTAGCGCGTGGACAGAACCAATCGTCGAACCTGCACATGGATGGGTAAGGTAAGAACTAGTTAGTAAATGTACATACAACAACTAAAAGCTTTAGTGATCATCACTGATGCAACAAAAGGTAAAGCTACTTTCGTACGGTCAACTACAAACTACAAAATAGAACTACAAAATAAATCATGAAATGCTACTTACTAAAGAAGATACTTAGATGTCAAGAGTATACTAGTGTACACTGTATATGTGGGTACACTGAGTATACACTGGTGCACCCACATAAAAAAATGAGTTCCATAGCTCCAATTTTGCGTGCACAAAATACATTATGCACTCAGTATTTCGTGTACCAGTAGCCCTGTGTTTTGTACTCATAGATCCTTTTATTAGTTGGTTTTACTAACTTCTCTCAGCCATTCTTTAATCAGCTGTTTACCGTGCCATAGTCACTTTGAGTATGTAATAATAAGAAATTATTTTCTATAAAAGAAAAGGCAAGTCTCACCTGCTTCCAGCCCCTCCTCCACCTCGATGGAGATGGTTGAGTTGACGAAGACCGGAGCGTTGTCGTTGCTATCGGTTACGTGGATGTGCACGAGCGTGGTGCGCTCGAGGGGCGGGGTTCCCCCGTCCACGGCGGCCACCGACAGCACGTAGGTCGGCTTCTGCTCGCGGTCCAGCGGTGCGTTGGTGGTGATGAGGCCGGACTGCGAGTGGATGTTGAACATCTCTTCTCCGTTCATCCCGGGGGTGCCTATAGGGGTTGATCAATGGTTTATTAGCAAAGGTATCATCTATTCAATAATGTGACATGTATGTTAAAGTTATTCTGGAGATGTTCATGGACAGGACCACTGGTCTTGAGTGTTGTGATACATGTAGTACTGTGTAGTATTTTCAGATATAAAGTGAACAGTGTCAATAGAGATATCTCAAAGGATTGTTACTTGAGATAGTTGACCCTAAACTTTTCTAACATCCTGTAGTATTTCATCAACTTTGCAGACATATCACAATGGTAGCCATATGA